GATCTGGGATTGAGATAGCCACAACACACCAGATAGTTTTGTTTTCATCCAGGAGTATCTGGACAAAATGTTGTAGTATCCGGGTGAAATTTAAAGAAAAAATCACCGTGAAAGTGGTTTTGGAGAAAAGCACAATCTTCCTGTTTGGCAAATCCATCCAGTGTCATGTTTACAGAAAGAAATGTCATGTTTTCTCAGGTTTCTGAAGCTTTCTTCCTAGAAAACTCGAATGTGTAGAGGAATTGACACCAGGTGGAACCAATTAGCGTTTGCCAGCAGAAAACAAAAATCTTACATGCTACAATGCATTCAAAACCGTAAAGTCCATAGAGAATGTCCAGAAAACACAAACACACACAGAGGCTGTTGCAAGATCTGGGATTGAGATAGCTACAAATCACCAGATAGTTTTTTGTTTTCATCCAGGAGTATCTGGACAAATTGTTGTGGATTTCGGGTCAAATTTTACGAACCAGGAGCCAAATATAGCACAGAATCATGCCACAAACTTCTGTCATGGCAAAGGCCCACGGGATTCTAGGAACACTGGAATAGAAAAAAATTTAGTTTTGAAGTGAAGTAGATGCCAACCTTTTCAGTAAGATACTCCTCTAATAGTGACCTTAAGATTGCTTTATAGAACTTGTACTGCTTTCAGGATACAATATTCAGAGAATATCACAGAATACCATAAAGTATTTAATAAAGTGCTTCATAAGGTATTCCATTTATCTGAACCTGTTTGTTATGTTATTCCCAGTCATGGTTTTCTGTAAAGAAATAAGAGCCTTTTCTTCTGTTCTGTAGCAAGCAGACCTGGATAAGACTGTCCACCAGACAAGAGAGGAGTATACTTCTTGCACGATGTGCTCATTTCAGAATCCAGGTTTTCAGGGCCTGAATATCTGGCTTGGTTCTATTTTTTTTAACTCCTTTATTTCTGTTTCTTCTTCTATTTTGTCTCCCTGTTTTCTTTTTCCTTTCCATTTGTCACTCTTTTATCCTCACCAAATCCATAGTGCCCATGATTACCCACTAGTAAAAGACAGGTCGTGGGGCTGGCGCTGTGGCGCAGCAGGTCAATGCCCTGGCCCATATGGGCACCGGTTCAAGACCCGGCTGCTCCACTTCCAATCCAGCTCTCTGCTATGGCCTGGGACAGCAGTGGAAGGTGGCCTAATTCCTTGGGCCCCTACACTGGCTTGGGAGGCCTGAAGGAAGCTCCTGGCTCCTGGCTTTGGATCGGCGCAGCTCTGGCCGTTGTGACCAACTGGGGAGGGAACCATCAGATGGAGGGCCCCTCTCTCTCTTTTTCTCTCTCTGACTCTCCACTCTCTCTGTGTAACTCTGACTTTCAAATAAATAAAAGGTCGGGGGGAGGATGGAGAGAGGTAAGGGAGGAAGGAAGGAAGGCAGGCAGAAGTAAAACAGGTCATTTCTGGTGGTAGGGTTATTGCTGGTTTTATTTTTATTATTTATATATATTATTTGTTATTCTTTATTTCACTAATTGCATGTGTTAATTTTATAACAGGAAATAAAGATGTCTTTAAAAAAGGAAAGTTTCCTTTTGTATTTGCATTGGTCTGTTCTCTTCAAATGTCTGGTTACTCTTGACTGACCACACATATTTGACAGTAAAACACTAAAAAAGGACAATCAGATGTTCTGTGTAATTAGACATTCTGTGTGCGCAGATTGAACGTTGCTAATCTGCAGAGGTCTGGTTGATGAGTTAAGTAACTCCTCCCAACCAGAGTTACCTACAGTCCCTTTCTCTTGTGCGAGTTTTCTAGAAGAATCTGTTACGCTGCATGGAGGACTGGTGCTGGGTAGGAGTGGGGAAGGGAAATAATTCTGGCTACCTAAGGAAGGAGGTGGAAAGTCAGAGATTAGCATACAGACTAGACTTTCAGTTAACCCCTGGAAAGCATACCTTTGTTCCCATGGTGTCCTTGACTCCACGGTGCCTCACATTCAACTGCTCTATAGAATACACCACCAGTCTCCTATTACAGTACAGCATGTCTAAAAGCTTCTTAAACAGATTGTCAAACACTTCTCCTATATTAGCTCCTTTTTGTACCTGGCCTGAGTGATGTTTGCTGCTCCCATTTTTGGAGTCTTTTTTGAGCTCTGCACATCTTGGGCATTGCCACTCTCTAACCCCCAATCTCACTGGTACTTAGATTATTCTACTTTCCAAACTTATTGTCACTGTTTTTTGCTTGAATTGGGATTATGGACTTCTTTCCTCTTTTACTGACATTCCAGGAAACTATCAAGTGTATTCAATCCCTCATATTTATTTTTTTAAAGATTTATTTTTATTTATTAGAGTTACAGAGAGAGGTAGAGACAGAGACAGAGACAGAGACAGAGATTGGTCTTCCATCCTCTGGTTCACTCCCCAATTGGCTGCAACAGCCGAAGCTGCGCCGCTCCGAAGCCAGGAGCCAGGAGCTTCCTCCAGGTCTCCCAAGCAGGTGCAAGGGCCCAAGGACTTGGGCCATCTTCTACTGCTATCCCAGGCCTTAGCAGAGAGCTGGATCAGAAGAGGAGCAGCCGGGACTAGAACCGGTGCCCATATGGGATGCCAGTGCATCAGGCCAGGGTGTTAACCCGCTGCACCACAGCACCAGCCCCAATCTCTCATATTTATTTTGATGCAAAGTTTCAAAAAAAATACATTATACATGTATATGCCTTTTTCTGGACAGAATTTAATTTTCTATGGTAATTCAAAGTCATCATTGTAAATACTGATTATTACACTGGTACGGTAAGGACCTCAGGGACTACTGAGAAAAGAAGGCCAGTTAAGCCTCTAGATTGGTGTGGCTTTTTTCATTACTTATGTTAGTTTCTTAAGTGTTTATTGTGCTCAAGCTTTTAGAACCATGTAAAATAAGCTTCAGAAGCAGATGCTAAACCAAAGATCAGTGCAATAAAGAGATTTATAAGGAAATGCTCCCAAGGAAAAATGATAGAGATACTTGGGTATGAGATCAGGGAGACATAGAAAGAAATCAAGAAAGCAGCAAGAGGGCCAGCGACTCGGCTCACTTGGCTAATCCTCCGCCTGCAGCATCGGCACCCCGGGTTCTAGTCCCGGTTGGGGCGCTGGATTCTGTCCCAGTTGCTCCTCTTCCAGTCCAGCTCTCTGCTGTGGCCCAGCAGTAGAGTATGGCCCAAGTGCTTGGGCCCTGCACCCGAATGGGAGACCAGGAAGAAGCACCTGGCTCCTGGCTTTGGATCGGTGCAGCGCCCAGCCGTAGTGGCCATTTGGGGGTGAACCAACAGAAGGAAGACCTTTCTCGCTGTCTCTCTCTCTTACTGCTGTCACTCTGTCCCTAAATTTTTTTTAATCCCAATATTCCAGCAGCAAGTAAAATGCTGTAGGGAGGGGCCGGCGCTGTGGCATAGCAGGTAAAGCCACCACATCCCATATGGGCACTGGTTCAAGCCCCGGCTGCTCCACTTCCAATCCAGCTCTCTGCTATGGCCTGGGAAAGCAGAAGACAGCCCAAGTCCTTGGACCCCTGCACCTGCATGGGAGACCTGGATGGAGCCCCTGGCTCCTGGCTTTGGATTGGCTCAGCTCCAGCCATTGTGGCCATTTGGAGAGTGAACCAGAGGATGGAAGACTTCTCTCTCTCTGCCTCTGCCTTTAATTCTGCCTTTCAAATAAATAAATAAATATTTTAAAAATGAACTATTTATATTGCATCTCATCAGTCATGGGTTAAGGACTGTTACTTTCCAAGCATTCTGGCTCTTTTTTCAAGCAGGCAAGGTATGTGGCAGCAGCCCAAGAATGGCTCTCCAACAAACACACCTATCTGCTGGATGTTGATAGTACCAACACGCAAGGGGAGGAAGAGACCGAAGGAGAATACTGAGAGCATCTGCTGCCATTCTCCTGTACATAAAATGTACATACTTAAGAGTGTTAAGCTTTTAGAATGACTGGCACTGTAGATAAAAGAAACAAAAGTTGATTTTGAATATCCACTGTGAGGGGCTAGCATTGTGACACAGCAAGTTAAGCTGCCACCAGCAACACTGGCATTTCACATGGGTGCTGGTTCATGTCCTGGCTGCTCCACCTCTGATCCAAATCCCTGTTAATGGCCTAGAAAAAGAAGATGGGCCAAGTATTTGGGCTTCCACCACCCATGTGGGAGACCCAGATGAAGCTCTTGGTTCCTGGGTTCAGCCTGGTACAGCCCTGACCATTGCAGCCATCTAGGGAATGAACAAACAGATGGAAGATCTCTCTCTCTGTAACTCTACCTTTCAAACACATAAATAGATCTTTAAAAAAAATTCCCACTGTGAGTTGAAAATATATGTCTGGCCGGCACTGTGGCTCAATAGGCTAATCCTCCACCTAGCGGCGCCGGCACACCGGGTTCTAGTCCCGGTCGGAGCGCCGGATTCTTTCCCAGTTGCCCCTCTTCCAGGCCAGTTCTCTGCTGTGGCCAGGGAGTGCAGTGGAGGATGGCCCAAGGGCTTGGGCCCTGCACCCCATGGGAGACCAGGAGAAGCACCTGGCTCCTGCCTTCGGATCAGCGCGGTGCGCCGGCCGCAGCGCGCCAGCCGTGGCGGCCACTGGAGGGTGAACCAACGGCAAAGGAAGACCTTTCTCTCTGTCTCTCTCTCACTATCCACTCTGCCTGTCCAAAAAAAAAAAAAAAATATATATATATATGTCTATACAAATTTTTGTACACAAATGTTCACAGCCATATTATTAATGTCAAAATGGAGAAACAACGCAAATATTTATCCATGATAAATTAATAAACAAAATGTAGTATATACATATAGTGGAATATCAGGTAATAAAAAGGAAGTATAAAAAGGAATGTAGGGGGGTCAGCACTGTGGTGTAGTGAGTAAAGCTGCTGCCTGCAGTGCTGCCATCCCATATGGGAGCTGGTTTGAGACCTGGCTGATCCACTTCCAATCCAGCTCTCTGCTATGGCCTGGGAAAGCAGTAGAGGATGGCCCAAGTCCTTAGGCCCCTGCACCCACGTGGAAAGATCTGGAAGAAGCTCCTGTCTCCTGCCTTCAGATCGGCACAGCTCCGTCCATTGCGGCCAATTGGGGAGTGAACCAGTGGATGGAAGACCTCTTTCTCTTTCTGTATCTCTTTCAAATAATAAATAAATCTTAAAAAAAAAAAAGAATGTAGCACTGATACATGTTACAAAATGGATAAATCTTGAAACATGCTAAGTGAAAGAAGCTAGACACAAAAAAAGGCCATATATTGTTTGCTTTTATTTATAAAAAATACCCAGGAGATAGACATGGAAACAAAGTAGACTGTAGTTACCAGGCTCTGGAGGAAGAAGAGAATAGGGTATGATGGCTAATGGGGATGAGTTTCTTTTGAGAATGATGAAAATGTCCTGGAATTAGCAGTGATGGTTGCACAACTTCACAAATATACACCCCCCCCCCAAAAAAAAAAACACAACAGAATTGTACCCTTTAAAATAAAATCCTAATTACTCTTACTCTGCTACACCGTTTTCAATCCTTTCTCCCATTACACCTTGTTTTAGTCACATACAGAATCTCAGTATTTATTCTCCCATTTCTTGGAGATCTGGAGTTGCGGTTCACTGTCACTATCTCCTGTTACAACCTGTGTTCTTCTTGATCACTTCAGGTTTTTTTTTTTTTTTTATTTTTTTTATTTTTTTGACAGGCAGAGTGGACAGTGAGAGAGAGAGACAGAGAGAAAGGTCTTCCTTTGCCGTTGGTTCACCCTCCAATGGCCGCCGCGGCCGGCGCGCTGCGGCCAGCGCAGCGCGCTGATCCGATGGCAGGAGCCAGGAGCCAGGTGCTTTTCCTGGTCTCCCATGGGGTGCAGGGCCCAAGCACCTGGGCCATCCTCCACTGCACTCCCTGGCCACAGCAGAGGGCTGGCCTGGAAGAGGGGCAACCAGGACAGAATCCGGCGCCCCTACCGGGACTAGAACCCGGTGTGCCGGCGCCGCAAGGCGGAGGATTAGCCTAGTGAGCCGCGGCGCCGGCCGATCACTTCAGTTTTTACTTCTCTTCTCATGATCTTGTTCTTTGCCATACCACAGTGACCCAGACCTATGAGTGTGACCTGGACCTTGAGATTACCCCTCATACTAGGAATTTCAGGAGTCCTACACTAACATCTGTTTTTCCATCTTATGCCTTCTAATAACCCAACTTCAATAATTCTGAGACCTAGAACGCACTGATCACATAACATTTCCACTGTCCTCTACCTGTCTGTACTTCTCATCCTTCCTCATCCTCATGAGTCCACAGTTCCTTTACTATAGTCACTCCCTTGCCTCTTTTTCCTTCATCGTACTGCCTAACAAAACTCCAACCCTGTTTAACCCCAATTCTCCACCTATTCAATATCTTTATTATTGAATGAGGCTGTTAAAAACATGTAATGGCAACATGACTAACCTCAAAGAGACCCGTAGTGCTACTACTACTTTACACAAGTCCACTCACTCTCATACTCTTTTAAATGACTATTTTACATCTCATTCTGTCTCCTCAAATCTCTATCATTTTCTCTATTCTCACTCTTTGAACATGGAGCAAAGGAAAACAATCAGGAGAGTGCTTTCTAACACTCCACAATAACATACAGTAACTTTCTACCTCTGTTTCCATAGCTGCTACCTTCCGAGGATGAACAGTCCAAATGTCTAAGACAGCCTCTCCCACCCACTGTAATCCATCCTCTTTTATGTATTCAAGAACATAGCTCTAACATTATTGGCTCTCTCATAAAAAAGTGGCTCAACCCTATCCTCAGTACAATCAACATGCTACAATACAGCCTCATTCAAAAACAAAACATTAAAAAAAGATTTATAAGGCTGGTGCCACGGCTCACTAGGCTAATCCTCTGCCTGCGGCACCAGCACCCCAGGTTCTAGTCCCGGTTGGGGCACTGGATCCTGTCCCGGTTGCTCCTCCTCCAGGCCAGCTCTCTACTGTGGCCCGGGAGTGCAGTGGAGGATGGCCCAAGCCCTTGGGCCCTGCACCCGCATGGGAGACCAGGAAGAAGCACCTGGCTCCTGGCTTTGGATCGGTGCAGTGTGTCAGCCGTAGCAGCCATCTGGGGGGTGAACCAATGGAAGGAAGACCTTTCTCTCTGTCTATCTAACTGTTCAAAAAAAAAATTATATATTGTTTATTTATTTATTTGAAAGGCAAAGTGACAAAGAGAGAGAGTGAGAGTGAGAGAGAGAGAGAGAGATCATCAGTTGGTTCATTCCCCTACAAGGCTGCAATAGCTGGAGCTGCACCAGGCAAAGGCCAGGAGCTTAGACCTCCATCTGGGTCTCCTATGTGGATGACATGGGCCAAAATACTTGGGCCATCTTCTATTGCTCTCCCATTTACATTATCAGGGAACTGGATCAGAAAAGCAGCAGCCAGCACTCAAATAAATACTCCAATACGGGATGCCAGCATCACAAGTGGTGGTTCAACTTGCTGTGCCACAACCACGGCCCCCCTAAAAACCCTCTTGACCTCATATCCCTCAGCTTGTCCTTGCTCACTCCTCCTGAAGCTACAGCTCTATTTTGCTGTAAGCTACCCTTCCTGACAGGGAAGCACTTGATATTCTCCATTCCTCTGTTCCCATTCCTTTTCTCTCTCTCATCATTTCTTTGCCCAATTCTTTTCATTTAAAAGACAGTGATTTATCAACAAAATTTTTTAAATAAGAACTTAATATTCATTTAAACGCATCAATTATTTTTAATAGTCAACATTTTGCCATTTTTACACATGAGGAATCTTCAAAAAGTTCATAGAAAAAGTTAATTTTAAAGTTGGGCCCGGTGCCGTGGCTCACTAGGCTAATCCTCCGCCTACGGCGCCGGCACACCAGGTTCTAGTCCTGGTTGGGGCGCCAAATTCTGTCCCAGTTGCTCCTCTTCCAGGCCAGCTCTCTGCTGTGGCCCAGGAGTGCAGTGGAGGATGGCCCAAGTGCTTGGGCCCTGCACCCCATGGGAGACCAGGAGGAAGCACCTGGCTCCTGGCTTCGGATCAGCGCAGTGCGCCGGCCGTAGCGGCCATTTGAGGGGTGAACCAACGGAAGGAAGACCTTTCTCTCTGTCTCTCTCTCTAACTCTATCAAAAAAAAAAAAAAAAAAAAACAGTTGGGACTGGCACCATGGTGCAGTAGGTTAATCCTATGACTGTGGCACTGGCATGCCATATGGGCGCCGGTTCTAGTTCCATTTGCTCTGCTTCCGATCCAGCTCTCTGCTATGGCCTGGGATACAATAGAAGATGGCCCAAGTCCTTGGGCCCCTACACCCACATGAAAGACCAGGAAGAAGCGCTTGGCTTCTGGCTTTGGATCATTGCAGTTCCAGCCATTGCGGTTATATGGGGAGTGAACCAGCAGATGGAAGACCCCTCTCTCTCCTCTGGCTCTACCTCTCTATAACTCTGTCTTCCAAATAAATAAATCTTGAAAACAAAAGGTATTTATGGATTTGAAAGTTTTCCTGTCAAATAAATTTATCTACTAATCCCATTTTCCATGAATTTTTCAAAAGTACTCTTGTAACTAGACATACAATCTTTTAGGGCGGGAGCTGAGGCCGCATCTAAAGTTACAGACATTATGACATTTCACCGCTAAATCGTTCAACACGCATGCCCTCCTCATAACCCAACACACTGTTACAGCCAGAAAATTATAACAGTGATGAAGTGTCATTTTTTTTTTTTTGGCAATTCATACTCAAATTTTCCAAATTGTTCCCAAAATGTCCTTTATAGTAATTATTTTTTCTTGATAGAGAATCCAATTTATGTTCATACATTCTCTTGTTTTATGTCTCTTCAATTTCCCTGAGAATTCCTCCTGACTTTGTCATGACACTGACATTTTTGAAAAGTCCAGATTGGCTGTCTAGTAGAATGTTCTGTTTTGAATTTGTATGATCATCTCCTTATGATCAGATTTAGGTTAATTGGCAGAGTTACAGACGGGGGAGGGGAGGAGGAGGGAGAGGGGGAGAGACAGACAGACAGACAGACAGATCTCACATCTGCTGGTTCATTCCCCAAATGGCTGCAACGGCTGAAGGTGGGCAGTTCCAAAGCCAACAGCCAAGAGCCAAGAACCTCTTTCACATCTCCCATGTGTGCATGGGCCAAAGCACTTGCGTAACCTTCCACTGCTTTCTCAGGCCATTAGCAGGGAGCTGGATCAGAAGTGGAGCAGCCAGGACTCAAACCAGTATCCATAAGGGATGCAGGCAGAAGCTTACCCTATTATGCTACATTGCTGGCCCCTATAATTATTCTTGAAGAACAACACCTACTACTTTTGTTTATTAATATGGGTTCACAGATTCTTTACTTACTCTGCATAGTTCATTACCATAATCACTTTTGGTGTCCTAATTTGATCAGTGGGAGCCCCTTCAAATCAGCTCCTATGGTTTGTTTTTTTTTTTTTTTAAGATTTATTTATTTATTTGAAAGGCAAAAGAAGGTGTGGGAGGGTCTTCCAACCACTGGTTCCCTCCTCAAATGTCCCCAACGGCAGGAGTTGGGCTGATCTGAAGCCAGGAGCCAGGGGTTTCTTCCAGGTCTCCCATGCAGGTGCAGGGGCCGAAGGGCTTGGACCATCTTCTATTGTTTTCCCAGGCCATTAGCAGAGAGCTGGACTGGAAGTAGAACAGCCAGACTCTAACCAGCGCCCATATGGGATGCTGGCACTGCGGGGCGGCTTTTCCCACTACGCCACAATGCCCACCCCCTATGTTCTTTCAACATGTATACTGGTTTTGTGAACCTTTTTTTTCTTAAGGTATTTATTTATATGAAAGGCAGAGTTACAGAGAGGGAGGCAGACAGTTGGGAGATCTTCCATCTGCTAGTTCACTCCCCAAGTGGCTACAATGGCAGCGGCAGGACAGGTTGAAGTCAGGAAACTGGAACTCCATCCAAGTCTCCCAAATGGATGCAGGGGCCCAAGCATTTGAACCATTTCCTACTGCTTTCCCAGGCACATTAGCAGGAGGAGGATTAATCTACTGTGCCATAGCACCAGCCCCACACAACCTGCTTTTAAAATGTGAGGTTCCCAAGAAACTATACTTAGAGAAAAATAAATTAAGCAGTGGTCTTTCTCACTCACCAAGGCTTAAGCTCCAATTTACTACAAGTGAAAAAAGTGATTTCAAAGTATATTGTCTCAAACTACCAGACGAAGCTAATATAATCAACCAACTAAACAAACAACTTAATTATCATAAATATATCATCACTGCTGTAGCAACCTTCCACACACTTATCATCTAAAATCAGAACTTACCTGTCTAGGAATATATCTGGGAGTGGTGGATAGGTCTGCATGTCAGGCACTCGCTCATGGACTATAACCATAATGAAAGATGTAAACCCAAACACAATAAAAACATATATACAACTCAGGATGGTCTTCCAGTATTCTGGGTCCAATCTTCGAACAGAATGCTTGTTTTTACCATTCATGTACTGGTACTGATCAGAATTCAAGTCAGTGATGAGTCCATCACAGTCGTGGGAGGGGTCTCCATTGCAGAGCCACTCTGCACTCTGAAGAGAACTGATAAAAGGAGTCATGGAACCCATGGGACTGTCACTGTTGTAGCCCATCTCTTCTAAAACATCAATATGTATTTTCTGCAGTTTTCGAACTGAAAGCATTAGTCTTTTAATGTCCCCTAAGACTTTGATTTCCAGAGGAGGAGACCGGAGATCATACTCAGTCAATGTTAGCAATGTGATTCCATCAAGTCGGTGTTTGTTGCATAAAATGTCCACATACTCAAAAAAGCCTTCATCCTTCAGCCACACAGCCACGTGCTTGGTAGTCCAGCGGCGAATGCAGAGTTGATTAGGACCTGCCATTTCCTCCTCCACTGCCTGTCAAGGGAAAACAGAAAAACAAAATAAAAACTTCATTGTGTCCTAACAACTTCTTCAGGAGCCAAACACACATAAACATACCAGAAATAGAAACTTACCTACACTGCCCTACTGGCTTCTACAGAAAAAGAACAAAAATTATCCAACAATGAGTAGTTTTTAGTAGATTAACATTGTAATAAGAAAACACTTGCACAGAAAGGTATCTTAAAAATGGCTTTTCCATAGCATGCCAGCCATAATTAATTAAAGAGTATTGTTGAGGGGCCAGCATTGTGGCGTAGCAGATAAAGCTTCTGCCTTCAGTGCTAGCATAACATATGGGCACTGGTTCAAGTCTGGGCTGCATCTCTTCCGATCCAGCTCTTTGCTAGGAAAGTAGTAGAAGATGGCCCAAGTCCTTGGGCCCCTGCACCTGCGTGGAAGACCTGGAAGAAGCTCCTGGCTTCAGATTGGCTAAGCTCCATCTGTTGTAGCCAACTGGGTAGTAAATCAGCGGATGGAAGAGCTTTCTCTCTCTGCCTCTTCTTCTCTCTCTGTGTGTAACTCTGCCTTTCAAATAAATAATCTTAAAAAAAAAAAAAAGACTATTGTTGAGAATTGAAAAAAATCTCATTTTAACTTTTCATAAAATTAGAACTTGAAGGATTTTTAGATGCAAGAAAACTCAATCAATTTCTGAAATTTTCATGTTCATGGAAAAAGTATCTCCCCAGTTTGGGGAAAAAAAAACAAAAAAGCAAATAGATAACTCCAGTTCCATGAAATTCTTTAAATAAAGTGTATCTCTCTCTACTACACATATAAACGATTTCTGTAACAGATAGCAAAGCCTGTAAACTAGACATAAATTTGAATCTTAATAGTAGCTCAGTTTTTTCTGTGCCTGGAATATCCCTATAGAATTGAATAACACAATTTATCCTTAAACTATCAGTGGGATTTCAGCAGTAAAAATTTAAAAAGAAAACTATCATTTCAATGTACTCATTAATTTGTTGACCCAAATTATATACTACAGTTATGAAAGGCCAATAATATATCATATTTTAACAGCACTAGTCATTTTTACTACTTTGATCCTGCACAGCTGTTTATATTCATCTTGTATTATAGTTACTTGAACCTCTATTAGGTTTATAAAGTATATCAGATACATGGGAAACAATGGCCTATATGAAAACAAAAGTTTTTTAAAAGAGTTATTTATTTGAAAGACAGTTACAGAGAGAGAGAGAGAGAGGGAGGAAGGGGGGGGGGAGAGAGAGAGAGAGAGAGAAAATCTTCTATCTACTGTTTCATTCACAAATGGCCGCGACATCCAGGAATGGGCCAGGCTGAAGACAGGAGCCATGAGCTTCTTCCAGTCTCCCACATACATGTAGGGGCCCAAGCACTTGGCCTGGTTTTTCTCTGCTCTTCAAGTCACTTTTTTTTTTTTTGACAGGCAGAGTGGACAGTGAGAGAGACAGAGAGAAAGGTCTTCCTATTGCCGTTGGTTCACCCTCCAATGGCCACCGCGGCCGGCGCATGGCGCTGATCCGATGGCAGGAGCCAGGTACTTATCCTGGTCTCCCATGGGGTGCAGGGCCCAAGCACTTGGGCCATCCTCCACTGCACTCCCGGGCCACAGCAGAGAGCTGGCCTGGAAGAGGGGCAACTGGGACAGAATCCAGTGCCCCAACCAGGACTATAACCCGGTGTGCCGGCGCTGCAAGGCGGAGGATTAGCCTAGTGAGCCGCGGCCCAAAAGTAGAACTCTTAAACACTGTTGGTGGGAATGCAAATTAGTGCAATTACTGTGGAAAACAGTGGAGGGGGCTGGCGCTGTGGCATAGTAGGTAAAGCCTCTGCCTGTGGCACGCAGGTTCACGTCCCAGCTGTTCCAGCTCTTTGCTATGGCCTGGGAAAGCAGTAGCAGATGACCCAAGTGCTTGGGTCCCTGTACCCCCATGGGAGACCCTGGATCCTGGCTTCAGATCAGTCCAGCTCTGGCTGTTGTGGCCATTTGGGTAGTGAATCAGCAGTTGGAAGAACTTCCTCTCTATCTTTCCCTCTCTTTGTCTACAACTCTGCCTCTCAAATAAATGAATAAAATATTAGAAAAAAATGGAGATTTCTTTAAAAACTAGAAATAAACCTGTCATTTGATCCAGCAAACCCACTACTGGGTATATACCCCCACGGCCTGAACTTGTTGTATCAAATACTTGCTCTGCCATGTTTAAAGTTAGCACTGTTCACAATATACAAAATAGGAATCAACCAAAGTGTCCATCAACAGGTAAATAAAACATAGTATATAAACAAAATAGAATATTATTCAGCTATAAAAAAGGATGAAAACATCAATTGCAGTAAAATGGTTGGAACTAAAGGATATCATATTGAGTGAAACAAGGCAGATACACAAAGACAAATACAACAATTCCCTAATATGTGGGAATTAGAATTAAAAACAAAAAACTTCAATCTGAACACAGAATGCTAATTACCAGAGGCATGGAGGAATGGAGTAAAAGGAATTTAGAGTAAAAAAAATATGGGAATCTGGGTATGGCTCATTATTTGTAACAAATATATTAATATGAAACGATAATAGAGGAAATGGAGTGAGGCATATATGGGAACTCAGTGAAGTATTCTCTCACAATTTTTGTTTATAAATTCAAAATTAATAATAATTATTATTAAAAAAAAAAAACAGGGCCGGTGTTTTGCACAGCTGTTCAGTTGCCTTCTTGGATGGCCTGCGTCCCACATAAGAAGGCCTGGTTCAGGTCCCTGCTACTCTGCTTCCAGTCCAGCTTCCTGCTAAAGCACACCCTGGGAGGTAGCAGGTGACAGGTTCAACTACTTGGGTCCCTACCACCTATGTGGGGGGCACTTGGATGGAGTTCCCAGCTCCCAGTTTCAGCCTGGCCTAGCCTTGGTGATTGCAGGCATTTGGGGAGTGAACCAGGAAATGGAAGATCTCTGCCTCTCGGCCCCTCCTTGGGATGAAAATAAAAAAAAAACCACACCCACAAATGAATATCTTTTCTGATACTATCTTCTTCCTCTTTCAGACTTAGTAACTCTTGATTTAAGGTTTTCATTGCTTCATTTCTTTTTAGTATATGTGTTGCCAAAACGAGCACTGCCTCATTTTTTTTAAAGATTTATTTATTTATTTGAAAGGCAGAGTTACAGAGAGGCATAGAGAGAGAGTCTTCCATCCGCTGGTTTACTCCCCAGATAGCCACAATGGCTGGAGATATGCCAATCTGAAGCCAGGAACTTCTTCCAGGTCTCCCACATGGGTGCAGGGGCCCAAGAATTTGAACCATCTTCTACTGCTTTCCCATGCCACAATAGAGAGCTGGATCAGAAGGGGAGCAGCCGGGACTTGAACTGGCGCCATCTGGAATGCCAGCACTGCAGGCTGCAGCTTTATGTGCTATGCCATGGTGCCAGTCCCTTTCATTGTCTTTTTTTTTTTTTTTTTAAGATTTGTATTTATTTATTTGACAGGTAGAATTACAGTGAGAGAGACAGAGAGGAAGGTCTTCCCTGTTGGTTCACTCCCCAAGTAGCTGCAACAGCCAGAGCTACACCAATCCAAAACCAGGAGCTAGAAGCTTTTTCCAGGTCTCCCACGCTGGTGCTGGGGCCCAAGGATTTGGACCATCCTCCATCACTTTCCCAGGCCACAGCAGAGAGCTGAACAGGAAGAAGAGTAACTGGGACTAGAACAGGCGCCTACATGGGATGCCGGCGCCGCAGGGGGAGGATTAACCCAGTGCACCACGTGCCGGCCCCCCTTTCATTGTCTTATAACTTCTGGCTATGAAAAACCTTCTATGACTCCTTACATTGAAGAAAGTAAAAAGCTGATACTAATCCACATTCTTCCCATATCCACACAAACTTTGGCCATGAAGACTTATAATCACCCAGCAATGGCAAACACTCTAAATGCATGACCACCACTTTTATCCTCAAAATTATTCAGAAAATAAGAAACACACAATAAAATCACCCACAGACAACCGTTCCTGAAATGTCAGTTAACCATTAAGTATTTATTTCTTAATTGCTTAAGAAGGAATCCTAGATTTTGGAAAGCTTAAATCATACTTTGTTTCCAAAGAGACAGTGCTTTGAATATTATCAAACCAGTCTTACAAAATTAATATCACAATTTTTTCAGTCTTACAAAGTTAATATCCATTCATTCATGAGGAGACTCCATTTTTTAAAAACTTGTTTAGTTCTTATATACTGCAGTTAGAAAAATTCCTACTCAACTCTTTTCAGCTATAGTGGTATCACCACCATCAGAAAGATCAAGGAACGGAAATTTACTCCCTTTAACACATGGAATTTACACATTGATGCATTATATACGACTTCGTATATTCATATATAAAATTTCATTAAACTATAACTTTGCTATTTTACTTCACATACATAGATGGTTTTATCTTACCTACTACATACATTTCTTTTTCCCAAGGTATGCTCTGACTAAATTACTTTATCTCTGGCTATTCAACAAGCAGATGCTATAAACTCTGCAACGGTTATACAGCAAAATGATAAAGAAGTACATCTCATACAAACATTGCTTCTCTTCTACTACATTTCCCCTAGCAGCTTACCACCAAAGGGTTCCAAGTTACTCCCATCCTGGTAGCATTATTCTTCAGAATAGTTTCACCTCACACTCTGCTCAGAAGATCCACTCCCCCCATCCCTCCTGGCAACGTCTTAATTCACCAGTTCTTTACGATCTCAATCTGACTAACAGGCTTTGATGCTGATGTTTTAGCTGCTAGAAAATATGAGTTATTATACATGGAAGCCTCCTGGAAGCCTTTGAGCCTGCTGTGGGAATGCCCTAAAAGCATGACACATTCCACAGTTCTGCCCCATCAGGTCAGTGCATGTCCTTTAATTGTATGCTACCATGTAATACTTGGAGGCCCACATGAAATCATGAAACACTGTGAAAG